CATCTTCATCACCTTGGTGGGCGCTGCAGCAAGGAGTCCCCAGCCGGGGAGAGCCACACCAAGAAGCTTCAAGGCAGGGTTGGGCATGGCGGCCTGAGCTAGAGCAGCCATAGCTGCTTTGGGTTGTCCTTTGGGCATCTGGGCAAGGCCTAGTAGTCTGCCATAGCCTCGGCCTATGAGAGTGAAGAGTGGGAGAGGCGGCCATGGTTATGGTGGACCTTGAGTGATACCTGCAGTAGAAGAGGGACTCGGACATTGATTCTGGACCAGTCATTCAACATTGTATTATTATTTATTGTATGAATAAGGGAAGAGGGAGACAAGGAGGAGGAGGCTGTTGGGCGAAGAAGAAGAGCCTTGACATTGTCTTTGCTGGTGTACATCTTCTTCTTCTTCTTTCTTAATTCTTCTTCTTCTTCTTCTAATCCTCTCTCTCCTCTCAAGTTCATTCATTTCTTTCTGCAATTGGATGGCATTGTACTTTCCGGTGGATGTGTATCTCGAAATTGGCCAGGGTCATAACAAGCGGGCTGTACACTTTGTCCCTGTCGTCGTTGTCGGGACTTTATCCCTGTTTTGAACCTTGCGGGACTTGATCCCATGACCTGTAACCTGTGTGTTTTGTTTGTGAGTGTCGTGCCCTATGGGGCTTGATCCCTGCGTCTATCACTAGCAGTCTCTGTTTGGTAGTCCTAGGCCATTCGGCCTTTTTCTTTTGCCTTGTCATAGGTCTAGGCCCCTTTTTCCCCTGTTTCCATCCAGATACAGATAGGTCTTGGGCTGTTGCTTTTGGGACGCCGTCCTTGGTCCAGGCGGAATGTAGAAGTAGCGGGCAGGAAAATTAGTTCGGGTCTTTTCTCGTTATTCTTGGCTGGGGAAACTCTGCCCATTCGTTGACGAAGCGTGCTGCGTTATTTTGGGCGAGGGCATCTTCTTCCTCGAAGCCCAGCCATAGCTGGGGCTGGGACATGAAGTTGGAGATAGCACTGCTGCTATTCTGCAGCTCTGCAGAAGAGCTTCCACAGGACTGTGTTGTTGGGTTTGGGCGCTGCCTTCCTACACTTGGCAGCCATATTTATTGTTCCTCCTCATGAGGAACTTCGTTTTTCTCTTCTTCGAAATGCTGAATCGGTTGTCTCCTTCTTCATCAGGACTTCTGGCGCTGCTATCATTGGGGTTGCTGGTTCAGATTCGCACGTTGTGACAGCTGTGAGGTTACTGTTGCTATGACAGCCATAGCCAGGGGTATGAGGTGGCGTGGAGGAAGAAGAAGACTCCTGTAGACTTCGTTGAACACTTGTTTTTGGTTGTTCGAGGTGGTTGTAAACGCGGTTGTGATTCTTTGAACAAGTACTTTGGATTGATTGGAGGAGGATGGGGGATTACAGAATTGAAATTCGTTTTTCAATTCTCTGTGTATTTCGAGCTTCCGCTGTGCATATCCGGTTTTGTGTGGATTTGCCTCCTTTGAAACGGTATTCACCTGTTAGCAGTAGCGAGTGCAGATCCCAGGGCTCGATCCCTAGTCCTTACCCTACCTGTGTACAGTATCTGTGTCGACCCCGAGAGTTGAACCCGTGACCTGTGTATCCGCAGCAGTTAGTAGGCTGCCGTAGGTCCGTAGGTTGTAGGGGTTTGAGCCGTAGACCTGTTGTTTGTGGGTCTTAGTAGGTCCTAGAAGTCGTACGTGTAGGACTTTTGAAAGGTCAAGGTCGTAGCTGCTACAGTCCTGAAGGGTCAAGGTCGTAGTTGCTACAGTGACGAAGGGCCAAGACTACAGACTTCCAGAAGCTCCGGAAGTGGCCCTTCACACGTTGCTCACAGTAGTCCAGAGGCAAGTGGGCAAGTGGTGGAGTCCACCTGTGCTGAGTCAGCGGTACCAGTCCCAGTCAGTCCTAGTCCAGTCAAGCAAGTACCGTATGGGGCTGTGTGCACCACAGGCATGGGGAAGGGGCAGACCAACGAGTTACAGAAGTATAAATCAAGAGGCAGCGCCCAGCCATTCATTCATTCATTCCTGTGTAAGCCATGCGGAAGCGCTGCCACAGCGACTTGTGCGAGGTGGTCTGCAGTATGCCCGAAGACGAAGTGGGCCGAAGGAGAGTTTAGCCATAGCGGTAGAGGTAGTAGCGGTCATAGCCGCCATAGCTGGGAGAAGAGTGTAGCGTGTGTGTGCGTGTGTGTACAGTGAGTTGCATGTGGGATATCCAGGGTGATCCTGTGTGTGAACAGCAGAGTTGGGCTAGTGACGAACAGAGAGTTGTACAGGCGCTGATGCGCCATAGCCCTCTGAAGAGAGCTTGTATCTGAACTGTATTCTTGATTGCCATATCTCTGAGCTTTGAGTGGGCGCTTGTCGCCAATTTGGTGTGCTACCTGTTTACATGCACGCGGAGTGCAAAAGAGAGTGAGTCTGATTGCACCTTTGAGTCAATTGCATGCGTGTACGGGAACGTGTGAATTCGTTGTGGATTGATGTTCAATTGGGTACATAACAGTTGGTATCAGAGCTTCAACCGTGTGCAACCCGCGAGCAATTGAGTGGCAACCTCCTTTCTGAGCGCCGGTTGGAGTAGGGACTTGTTGTCCGCTTTCTTCAACGGGAGTCGTTGGTGAGAGGTGGTGGAAGGTACTGTGAGAGGGGAGAATTACCGCTATCAGAAAAAAAAAAAAACGAAGAAAGGAGATACGGAGTGGTGGAACATTCACTGAAAGTTTCAGCTGGTGAGAGCAGAGTTGACCGCTGCGTCAACCCTGTCGGGTGACCCTCAAGTGGCAGACCATGCCCGCAGACGGCACGGGACTTCAGTCGAGTTCGTTTCCGTATTTCTTGGCCGTCATCAGACTCTGTCAGTGTTTGTCAGAGTCTGTCAGTCGTCAATCCGTGTGCAGTCTACGTCAGATAGGTTGTCTAATCTACAAATGGAGATGTAATTAACCATTTCTGATCCGCGGTGATTGCGCAGTCAGTGCTGTGTGTGCCAACTGAAAACAGTGGCTGATTGTCAGTCCCTTGCGGTCTGTCTCTCAGTTCTGTCAGTCGGCAATCTCAGTTCTGTCAGTCCGCAACTACAATTGTCAGTCAGAAAATAGTCCATTAAGTGACACTCTGTCGATGGCAGATTGTTAGTATAATGGCGTATTTCGTTTCGATTAGAATAAGAGCCATCTGCAGACTGCACTAGCGGTAATTGAAATCCGCTTCGTTTTTTTTTGGGGGGGGGGTTCCCCTGATTGCATTGAAAAGTATCTCTCCCGCTTGCTGTAGAATGCTAACTGTTTCGTGAAAGCTCCATGACGAGCCTGGTAACAAACATCATTGCCTTGTTGATCAGGTTGCATGCTCAGACATGGCCATTCTGTTGAACGTTTCGGCCGTTATCCTAAGCTTGTAATCTCCCAGGCTGTTTTCAGACATTTGACGCTACCTGCCGTAAATCCCAAACCTTTTGTAATGTTTTACTACTAGCACAGTTAGATTCTTTTTATTTATGTTCTGCGTGTGAACAATAATCCGAATTATTTTAATTTTATTT